AAGGGCGCGGCGGGCCCGCGGAGCAGGACTGGGTCAACAGGCCCAAGACCGTGCGAGACACGCTGCTGGCCTTGCACCAGCACGGCCACTCGGGGCCCTTCGAGAGCAAGTTCAAGAAGGAGCCGGCCCTGACTGCAGGCAGGTTGTTGGGTTTCGAGGCCAGCGGGGCCAACGGGTCTAAAGCAGGTAGGGGCGGCTGTGGAGCGAGCGAGGGGGGCCGACCGAGGCGTGAGAGGTGCTGGGGGGTGGGGGTGGTTCTGCCCTTGCCTGCCTAGAAGCGACAGACTCCCCACTTCCTGATGTGCCTCAGGCCAGGCGGAACCCGGGCTTGGTGGCAACGTGTTCCTGTGCTGAAGCAGCACAACAGGAATGAGTCAGAGCGGCCGAGAGGCCCTGACACGGGGCTTTCCTTTCCCAGCACATTCTTGGATGGGAGCACGAGGGCACCAGTCACCTTTTAACCTGTCCCGGACGGCAGCAAGTCACATGCTTGCAGCTCAGGCCAGGTTACAGGCATGCCAGTGCAGCAGCAGAGGCCCTTTCCCTTTAAATCGGCATGTGGCCCCAGAGTCCCAAAGTGTGTTTGGAGCTGCACGTAGAACTTGAGTGTGTTCCTTTGCATAGTAGACATTATCCAGTTAAAGTGTTGGTTCGCATTAGAGCTGCCTTTCAGTGAGCCTTAGTTTATCTCCCCTTTTTCCTTCCATTTCTTTTTCCAGTTGCAAGAACAGCAAGGAAAAGGAAGCCTTCTCCAGAACCAGAGGGTGAAGTCGGGCCCCCCAAGATCAATGGAGAGGCCCAGCCGTGGCTGTCCACCTCCACAGAAGGGCTTAAGATCCCCATGACTCCTTCGTCCTCTTTTGTGTCTCCACCACCACCCACTGCCTCACCTCATTCCAACCGGACCACACCGCCCGAAGCGGCCCAGAACGGCCAGTCCCCTATGGCAGCCCTGATCTTAGTGGCAGACAATGCAGGAGGCAGTCATGCCTCGAAAGATGCCAACCAGGTTCACTCCACCACCAGGAGGAATAGCAGCAGTCCGCCCTCTCCGTCCTCTATGAACCAAAGAAGGCTCGGCCCCAGAGAGGTGGGGGGCCAGAGCGCCAGCAGCACTGGAGGACTGGAGCCCGTGCATCCACCCAGCCTCCCGGACTCCTCCCTGGCCACCAGCGCCCCCCTGTGCTGCACCCTGTGTCATGAGCGGTTGGAGGACACCCACTTTGTGCAGTGCCCCTCCGTCCCTTCGCACAAGTTCTGCTTCCCTTGCTCCAGACAAAGCATCAAACAGCAGGGAGCTAGTGGAGAGGTCTATTGTCCCAGTGGGGAGAAATGCCCTCTGGTGGGCTCCAATGTCCCCTGGGCCTTTATGCAGGGGGAGATTGCAACCATCCTTGCTGGAGATGTGAAAGTGAAAAAGGAGAGAGACTCGTGACTTTTCCAGTTTCAGAAAAACCCATTGATTACCCTTATCTAAAACTGCTTGAATTGTATATATATCTCCATATATATATATATATACATATATATATATCTCCAAGACAAGGGAAATGTAGACTTCATAAACATGGCTGTATAATTTTGATTTTTTTTGAATACATTGTGTTTCTATATTTTTTGACGACAAAAGGTATGTACTTATAAAGGCATTTTCTTCTTTTGTTAATGTTATTAGCATATCTTTGTGCTTTATTATCCTGGTGACAGTTACCGTTCTATGTAGGCTGTGACTTGGCTGCTTTTTTAGAGCACTTGGCAAATCAGAAATGCTTCTAGCTGTATTTGTATGCACTTATTTTAAAAAGAAAAAAAAAGCCAAATACATTTTCTGACGTTGTAAGATTGCCTTACTGTCTGTTATTCCTTATTGCTGGCCCCTTTCTGAGACTAGAGGCCAGTGGGTGGAGAAGGAGAGGAAATGAGTGAAAGGGTTGTTTTGTCAGGTGGGAAATATCAACAAGTTTACCCCAAAACGTCTCTTGGAGGAGTAGGGAAATATGTTTTGAATCTCTGTTTTGCTCTTAAAGTTCAGTTCTTGGGATACAGACTGAGTGGTGCTGCTCAGAGATTTTCCGAATTGTATGGTTTTTTTGTGGGGGAGGGTTTTGTTTTTTGTTTTTTTTTTTTTATAAACAAAGTTGACCGCTGTTCACTGTCCACGTGATCAGTTGTAAGATTACAATGCTGCATGCTAGTTGGTTACATAATACACAATTCCAGCAATGGAGGTGGTTTCGAGGGGTGGTGATGTGTACAAGATGGCACTGCCATCTTGGAGCGGAGCCTGGCTCCGCAGTGCCCTTCATCTCTCAGAACACCCCAGACCTCTGTTTGTTGTTGCTGTCATTTCTTCTGAAGGAATGGCAAGAAAAGTTGCAGTCTAGGTGAACTTGGAGATTGTGGGACTGGTTTTGTTTGTTTTGTGTTGTGTTTTGTTTTTTCCATTTACCTGTAGTGCTATTGCTGTTGATGCTATCACCTACACCGTTTCAGTGAGTGCTAAATACAGTATGGTACAATGACAGTAACAGCTGCAGGTGATGCCAGGGCTGCCTGTAGCATCATATCGGTGACTGCCCAAGTGTGGGTGGAGGAAACCTGTAATTTCCTTCTTACATGTGTTTGAAATACCAAGTAAATAATACTGTTCTGGAAAAAAAAATGGTAAACTAGTGAAAAGTTTTAAATTAAGTGTTTTACGTAATAGGCAGGCCCCACCTAAAACTATTTTTAGATGCCTTTTGTAAACTAATTTCTTTTGATCACTATTTTGCATCAGTAAAATGATTTTTTTAACCATTAAATCATCAGTTGTTAGAAATAGTTGTCTTACAGTGATACTATACTGGTTTTTATTTTGTGCTGTTACGATTTAACATTGACAGGAACACTTAAATCTTATGTTCAGGTGCTTGAACTTGGCCTTGTAATTAGGCTGAATCATGGCTTCTAGGTCTACTGCAGTGTGTATTGTTCACAGCCTAGCTTTCATTTTAATTTGAAAAATACAGATTATTACCAACTTTGGGTTAATTATGTGTTTGTCTTTTTTTTTAATTGCTCAAAATGGTTTTTAGTGGTCAAGTTAACACTTGAAAATCAGATACTGCACCAAATACAGTATTTTTTGTAGTGTTTTAAATGAGTGTACCTATTACCAGTGCTGTGGGAATTCATGTTACCAGTCATTGTTATATTGCAAACAGACTTGCATGATTAACCAGTTTGTCATTATACTTTTTTTAATTGGAGTATGTATGACTCAGATCAGACTGGTCTCTTGTGTGAATGTACACATGCAGAAACAGTCAGTTTTACATGCCCTTAAAGATATTTGTGAAAAATTGAGCTATTATGATCTGTTGTATAAATGTGTTTCTAGGCACTTTATTATAAACTGGAATTTGACCTCGTAGATGTCACAACTGATCAGTCATTTGACCCAATTTGTGGTGGCTATCTGTATGTTTTGCACTCAACACAGATAAGCTCTCCAAAAAGATTAATAACCATCCTGCTGTAGTGGAGAACCCTGTCCGGCTGTGGGAAAGATAACCTGTGGTTTCTCTGCTGGTGAAGAGGGGAGAATTTGAATGGCTTTAAAGGGCTGTATATTGAGGTTCCTGCTATTAAAAAATTAGGTCTGCATGAGTCTGACTGGCCCTTGGGTGGCCTTTGCAAAAGGCCTGTAGCTGGATGGAGAGAGTGGATCTGGGTTCTTTTTCTGGTGTTCTATTAAATTAAAAAGTTAACTTTGGGATGTGGGTTTGATCCTTTGTTGGACCTGATGACAGTGCAGGGATTCTCCACAGCTGAATAGAAATGTCAGAAAGCTACTTACTGTACAAGGGCAGTATCAGATTTCAGATCCTAATATTTTAGCTGTGCTTTTAATACTCAGAATATTAGGGTATGGGGTATTGACACTTTCCCTTTTTTACTTTAACAATTTATAGAATTTAACAGATGTACTGTCTTTCATGTGGCCTCACATTTAAAGTTATGAGAACATACACATGGTTTACAACTTTTACTATATATCTTTCCTTGGCCACCAAGTATTCTAAAAGTGTGCCACCTTTTAACCTTTACTTTTTTTTAAGTTGAAGGTGATAACTTTTTCTATATATGATGAAACTCATGTCAACTGAAGTAAGTGTAATCTCAGATATCAACATTATATTTTAAAATCATGCTATGGAAATATCACCTGCATTCTGTCATTTGTCAGATTTACAGTACCTTTTTTTCTTTAACTTTTAGCATTAAATAAAAAATAAAATTGGGAGCACTGAACATTTTCTGAGGCCTTTTTTAATTTTTCAAATAAGCATAGGATGGCTTTGTGTTACTAATGACAGTGTGACTGAAGGATGTGTGGATTTGGGGCCCGGTTTTGACCAGAGCTGCAGAGCAACAGGAGATAAAAGATAAGGAACAAAAGGTCACTGATGGTAGAAGAAAGAAATGCTAGGGACTGGGGCAAGGGCAACTGGACAGGGGACACAGATAAGAAAGGAGCTGATTGGAGTGCAGCTGGAAAGCACTTGTTTATTTGCAGGGAAGCATAGAGCCAGCCCTTTCTGCTGTAGTGGATTGGAAGGAGAAGATAGTGACGACGCTGAAAAGACTGACTGTCAAGACCTGGAGCTGCTCTTTGGAAAGCTGTGGAATAAAACAGCCATGTTGGTCCCTAGGAAATGCACTGAATACAAATGGGAAAGGGTGGGGGTGTGCGTTTACACTTGGGAAATAGGAGCTAAAGTTACAAGTGAGCTTTGTTGGTATCCTGAAACTAAAATTTATAAACGTAAACTGTAAAAAGCCCCGAGATGCATTTTAAAGCTGCTATCTACTATCACATAGTAAAAAATTTCCTGAATGTTGCAATTTTTACTCTATCGATCAATGGCTTGGCAGACTTCTCTGTGAAAGGAAGTTGTGAAACTTTTTATAGAGTTTGAGGCTAGGATATACACCAACTTACTAACATGTTTTAAATTAAACAGCAACAGAGAATGTGTAGTCAAATATATTTTCTTTTGAGTGGTCCAGGAAGTGGGGGGGACTAAATCACTATATATATTTTAATAATTTTTCCATTATTAGCCCACTCACTGCACTTTTCAAAAAACCATGCTCATAAGTTATACATTATGACATGATTATTCATTTAATAAGCTTAAAATTGGCTAAATTATTAATCAGCTTTTGTTCTCTAAAAATGCTAAATTTTATCTGTATACCTCACAGAAGTCATTTTTAAAATTTCAGAAAGCTCCTCCCAAAGATAAATTTTAAAGGTTATGTTCAGTTTTCAGTTAAAAACAAATCAGACTCTTGATGTGGCAGATGTCTTTGTTTATTCCCCAAAGGGAGGAAAAAGTTAAAAGGAAAATCTGGAACCCTTTTTAGTTCCTAGACTTTCAGTCCTTTCTTACTCAGAGTTGCTTCACATCATTGATTTATAGATAGTTTTATTCAGTTTAGTGCAGAGCAAAATGTTTGTCTTCCTGATTCCTAAGTGTGTACGTGGATCATTCAGAAAAATGTTCAGTTGTGTATAGGCCACCAGAAACCCTGAGTCACCCTCATTTGCTTGCCTTTTGTTCATAGGAACAGCGTGAGACACGCCTCTCCTTGGTCACAGACCAAGGTCAGATGTGCCAGTGAGTGGAGCACATACTTACCCACTTAATCTTGTGGGGTTCTAGACGTGGGGGTGTGAGGGGAATTAACTCTGTAAGTGCCACTGTGTTGGCCTCTAAGTTCAGCAGTACTATTACTGTTAAATTAAGATCACAGGTGGGGCCGGGGGATTTAGCTCAGTGGTTCCGCCGCCTGCCTTAAAAGTATAAGGTCCTGAGTTGGATCCCCAATACCAAAGAAAGATCATGGATGTAATTTATAAGTTGCCAGTTGTCTACAGCCTTGTTCGCTCTGTGGACAGCTTGCTTCTTCTTCAATATCCCAGAATCCTACCCTATAATGTGAAAGGCACAAAAACTGACACAAATTTATAAATTGTCAAGAGGCTGGATGATGGAAAAATGGCCAGGTGTATGGATTATCCATGGATTTCTCTATTAAGCCCCAGATAAATTCATAATTAGGAATATTCATACTACCTCTATTTAACATTAAGAAATTAACTTAAAGGATCAGTAGTAGAACATGTGCCTCACCCTGAGAGGCCATGGGTTTGATCTCCAATACAAGAAAAAAAGAGAAATTATACTAACAGTTAACTGTTTCATCACATTTGTTGGCACCTGCTCCCTCCCCACGTCAATATAATTTAGTTTAAAATACTTGATTTACAAGAGCTTTGCTTTTTAATTTCAGGGTGTAGTTTTTACAAAAGATTACAGAATATGAAACCTGTATTTGCACTGGTTTTTGTCGCAGAATATTGTGCACTTCTGGTATAGCACTGATTGTATAAAATGATGCATACAACCCCACAGTAAAAGTGTTTTAGGCCAAAAAGTAGCTGTACCATAGGCAAATTATTTAGACTCATTAAGGCACTGTACCTTAAAAACCATTATTTTAAATCTGAAAAACTGGATAAAATTTCTTAGAATAACCCTATTACACTGGTATAAACAGTTCCTGCTATTATACAATCTTAAATATTTCTTTGAAAAATGTAGAGTGGCCCTTTACAACTCACACAGAGTTCAAAATCATAGAATAACAAGTCTAAATTTGAGTAAAATTTATCACATCAACTATGAAAAGCTTCTAGGAAATATTTCCCTTCAAGGTCAGACAAGATCTTGAGCCTACAGGATTTCTGGTTTGAATTGAGAGCAGCGGTGCTCTAGTACTTCTTTGAATGGGTTTTGGAAGCCAGATTGCATAATCTAAATATCCTCCAGCAGCTCAGCAGAAGTCCTTGATGCCGAGATAAGACATCCTGTATAGGGTAACAGTGTCACATTTGAACATTTGTAACTATCGTTTGCATTGGGGGAAAGTGAACTATGTTACGTAATCTGTAGACCCGATCACTTAACCACTTTTGCTTAGCAATTAATATTTTTGAGTGCATCAACATCAGTTAATTAGGAGACAGGCATCAGGCATGACAGATGAATCACATTTTGTGTACTGCAGGCA